GTAAGTGTGAGTGTGTAAGTGTGTAATTGTATACTGTATAAGTGTGTAAGTGTACGTGTGTAAGTGTGTAAGTGAGTGTATAAGTGTGTAAGTGAGTGTGTGAGTGTGTAAGTGTGTAAGTGTGTAAGTGTGAGTGTAAGTGTGTAAGTGTAAGTGTGTAAGTGTAAGTGTGTAAGTGTAAGTGTGTAAGTGAGTGTGTAAGTGAGTGTGAGTGTGTAAGTTTGTAAGTGAGTGTAAGTGCGTAAGTGTGTAAGTGTATAAGTGTGTAAGTGAGTGTAAGTGTGAGTGTGTGTAAGTGTGTAAGTGTGTACGTGTAAGTGTGTAAGTGTGTGAGTTAGTGTGTAAGTGTGTAAGTGTGTGAGTGTGTACGTGTAAGTGTGTGAATGAGTGTGTAAGTGTGTAAGTGTGTAAGTAAGTGTGTAAGTGTGTGAGTGAGTGTAAGTGTGTGAGTGTGTAAGTGTGTAAGTGTGTAAGTGTGTAAGTGAGTGTGTAAGTGTGTAAGTGTAAGTGTGTGAGTGTGTAAGTGTGTAAGTATGTAAGTGTGTAAGTGTGTAAGTGTGAGTGTGTAAGTGTGTAAGTGTAAGTGTGTAAGCGTAAGTGTGTAAGTGTGTAAGTGTAAGTGTGTAAGTGAGTGTGTGTGTAAGTGTGTAAGTGTGTGTAAGTGTGTAAGTGTGTAAGTGTATACTTTGTAAGTTTGTAAGTGTAAGTGTTAGTGTGTAAGTGTGTAAGTGTATACTGTGTAAGTGTGTGTGTATGTGTGTATGTTTGTAAGTGTAAGTGTGTGTGTGTCTGTGTTTGTCTGTGTGTGTAAGTTTGTAAGTGTAAGTGTGTAAGTGTGTAAGTGAGTGTGAGTGTGTAAGTGTGTAAGTGTAAGTGTGTGTAAGTGTGTAAGTGTAAGTGTGTAAGTGTGTAAGTATGTAAGTGTGTAAGTGTGTAAGTGGGTGTGAGTGTGTAAGTGTAAGTGTGTAAGTATGTAAGTATGTAAGTGTGTAAGTGTGTAAGTGAGTGTGAGTGTGTAAGTGTGTAAGTATGTAAGTATGTAAGTGTGAGTGTGTAAGTGTGTAAGTGTGAGTGTGTATGTGTGTAAGTGTGTAAGTGTGTAAGTGTGAGTGTGTATGTGTGTAAGTGTGTAAGTGTGTGTGAGTGTGTAAGTGTGTAAGTATGTAAGTGTGTAAGTGTGAGTGTGTGTGCAAGTGTGAGTGTGTATGTGTGTAAGTGTGTAAGTGAGTGTGTAAGTGTGTAAGTGTGTAAGCGAGTGTGTAAGTGTGTAAGTGTGTAAGTGTGTAAGTGAGTGTGTGTGTATAAGTGTGTAAGTGTGTGTAAGTGTGTAAGTGTAAGTGTGTAAGTGTATACTGTGTAAGTGTAAGTGTGAGTGTGTAAGTGTGTAATTGTATACTGTATAAGTGTGTAAGTGTACGTGTGTAAGTGTGTAAGTGAGTGTATAAGTGTGTAAGTGAGTGTGTAAGTGAATGTGTAAGTGTGTAAGTGAGTGTGTGAGTGTGTAAGTGTGTAAGTGTGTAAGTGTGAGTGTAAGTGTGTAAGTGTAAGTGTGTAAGTGTAAGTGTGTAAGTGAGTGTGTAAGTGAGTGTGAGTGTGTAAGTGTGTAAGTGAGTGTAAGTGCGTAAGTGTGTAAGTGTGTAAGTGAGTGTAAGTGTGAGTGTGTGTAAGTGTGTAAGTGTGTACGTGTAAGTGTGTAAGTGTGTGAGTTAGTGTGTAAGTGTGTAAGTGTGTGAGTGTGTACGTGTAAGTGTGTGAATGAGTGTGTAAGTGTGTAAGTGTGTAAGTAAGTGTGTAAGTGTGTGAGTGAGTGTAAGTGTGTGAGTGTGTAAGTGTGTAAGTGTGTAAGTGTGTAAGCGTAAGTGTGTAAGTGAGTGTGTAAGTGTGTAAGTGTAAGTGTGTGAGTGTGTAAGTGTGTAAGTATGTAAGTGTGTAAGTGTGTAAGTGTGAGTGTGTAAGTGTGTAAGTGTGAGTGTGTAAGTGTGTAAGTGTGTAAGCGTAAGTGTGTAAGTGTGTAAGTGTAAGTGTGTAAGTGAGTGTGTGTGTAAGTGTGTAAGTGTGTGTAAGTGTGTAAGTGTATACTTTGTAAGTTTGTAAGTGTAAGTGTTAGTGTGTAAGTGTGTAAGTGTATACTGTGTAAGTGTGTGTGTATGTGTGTATGTTTGTAAGTGTAAGTGTGTGTGTGTCTGTGTTTGTCTGTGTGTGTAAGTTTGTAAGTGTAAGTGTGTAAGTGTGTAAGTGAGTGTGAGTGTGTAAGTGTGTAAGTGTGTAAGTGTAAGTGTGTGTAAGTGTAAGTGTGTAAGTGTAAGTGTGTAAGTGTGTAAGTGTGTAAGTGAGTGTGAGTGTGTAAGTGTGTAAGTGTGTAAGTGTAAGTGTGTAAGTATGTAAGTATGTAAGTGTGTAAGTGTGTAAGTGTGTAAGTGAGTGTGAGTGTGTAAGTGTGTAAGTATGTAAGTATGTAAGTGTGAGTGTGTAAGTGTGTAAGTGTGTGTGAGTGTGTAAGTGTGTAAGTATGTAAGTGTGTAAGTGTGAGTGTGTGTGCAAGTGTGAGTGTGTATGTGTGTAAGTGTGAGTGTGTAAGTGAGTGTGTAAGTGTGTAAGTGTGTAAGCGAGTGTGTAAGTGTGTACGTGTGTAAGTGTGTAAGTGAGTGTGTGTGTATAAGTGTGTAAGTGTGTGTAAGTGTGTAAGTGTAAGTGTGTAAGTGTATACTGTGTAAGTGTAAGTGTGAGTGTGTAAGTGTGTAATTGTATACTGTATAAGTGTGTAAGTGTACGTGTGTAAGTGTGTAAGTGAGTGTATAAGTGTGTAAGTGAGTGTGTAAGTGAGTGTGTAAGTGTGTAAGTGAGTGTGTGAGTGTGTAAGTGTGTAAGTGTGTAAGTGTGTAAGTGTGAGTGTAAGTGTGTAAGTGTGTAAGTGTAAGTGTGTAAGTGTAAGTGTGTAAGTGAGTGTGTAAGTGAGTGTGAGTGTGTAAGTGTGTGAGTGTGTACGTGTAAGTGTGTGAATGAGTGTGTAAGTGTGTAAGTAAGTGTGTAAGTGTGTGAGTGAGTGTAAGTGTGTGAGTGTGTAAGTGTGTAAGTGTGTAAGCGTAAGTGTGTAAGTGTGTAAGTGAGTGTGTAAGTGTGTAAGTGTAAGTGTGTGAGTGTGTAAGTGTGTAAGTATGTAAGTGTGTAAGTGTGTAAGTGTGAGTGTGTAAGTGTGTAAGTGTGTAAGCGTAAGTGTGTAAGTGTGTAAGCGTAAGTGTGTAAGTGAGTGTGTGTGTAAGTGTGTGTAAGTGTGTAAGTGTGTAAGTGTATACTTTGTAAGTTTGTAAGTGTAAGTGTTAGTGTGTAAGTGTGTAAGTGTATACTGTGTAAGTGTGTGTGTATGTGTGTATGTTTGTAAGTGTAAGTGTGTGTGTGTCTGTGTTTGTCTGTGTGTGTAAGTTTGCAAGTGTAAGTGTGTAAGTGTGTAAGTGTAAGTGTGTGTAAGTGTGTAAGTGTAAGTGTGTAAGTGTGTAAGTGTGTAAGTGTGTAAGTGTGTAAGTGAGTGTGAGTGTGTAAGTGTGTAAGTGTAAGTGTGTAAGTATGTAAGTATGTAAGTGTGTAAGTGTGTAAGTGAGTGTGTAAGTGTGTAAGTATGTAAGTATGTAAGTGTGAGTGTGTAAGTGTGTAAGTGTGAGTGTGTATGTGTGTAAGTGTGTAAGTGTGAGTGTGTATGTGTGTATGTGAGTGTGTAAGTGTGTAAGTGTGTAAGTATGTAAGTGTGTAAGTGTGAGTGTGTGTGCAAGTGTGAGTGTGTATGTGTGTAAGTGTGAGTGTGTAAGTGAGTGTGTAAGTGTGTAAGTGTGTAAGCGAGTGTGTAAGTGTGTAAGTGTGTAAGTGAGTGTGTGTGTATAAGTGTGTAAGTGTGTGTAAGTGTGTAAGTGTAAGTGTGTAAGTGTATACTGTGTAAGTGTAAGTGTGAGTGTGTAAGTGTGTAATTGTATACTGTACAAGTGTGTAAGTGTACGTGTGTAAGTGTGTAAGTGAGTGTATAAGTGTGTAAGTGATTGTGTAAGTGAGTGTGTAAGTGTGTAAGTGAGTGTGTGAGTGTGTAAGTGTGTGAGTGTAAGTGTGTAAGTGTAAGTGTGTAAGTGTAAGTGTGTAAGTGAGTGTGTAAGTGAGTGTGAGTGTGTAAGTGTGTAAGTGCGTGTAAGTGCGTAAGTGTGTAAGTGTATAAGTGTGTAAGTTAGTGTAAGTGTGAGTATGTGTAAGTGTGTAAGTGTGTACGTGTAAGTGTGTAAGTGTGTGAGTTAGTGTGTAAGTGTGTAAGTGTGTGAGTGTGTACGTGTAAGTGTGTGAATGAGTGTGTAAGTGTGTAAGTAAGTGTGCAAGTGTGTGAGTGAGTGTAAGTGTGTGAGTGTGTAAGTGTGTAAGTGTGTAAGTGAGTGTGTAAGTGTGTGTAAGTGTGTAAGTGAGTGTGAGTGTAAGTGAGTGTGAGTGTGTAAGTGTAAGTGTGAGTGTAAGTGTGTAAGAGTGTAAGTGTGTAAGTGTGTAAGTGAGTGTAAGTGTGTAAGTGTGTGAGTGTGTAAGTGTAAGTGTGTAAGTAAGTGTGTAAGTAAGTGTGTAAGTGTGTAAGTGAGTGTGTAAGTGAGTGTGAGTGTAAGTGAGTGTGAGTGTGTAAGTGTGAGTGTAAGTGTGTAAGTGTATGTGTGTAAGTGTGTGTTAGTGTGTAAGTGTGTAAGTGAGTGTGTAAGTGTGTAAGTGAGTGTGTAAGTGAGTGTAAGTGTGTAAGTGAGTGTGTAAGTGAGTGTGTAAGTAAGTGTGTAAGTAAGTGTGTAAGTGTGAGTGTGTAAGTGTAAGTGAGTATAAGTGTGTAAGTGTAAGTGTGTAAGTATGTAAGTGTAAGTGTGTAAGTGTAAGTGTGTAAGTAAGTGTGTAAGTGTGTAAGTAAGTGTGTAAGAGTGTGTAAGTGTGTGAGTGTAAGTGTGTAAGTGTAAGTGTGTAAGTGTAAGTGTGTAAGTGTGTGAGTGTGTCCTGGTCACCTGTGCGCACGTCATGGTTGATGTCGTCCACGCGAATCACCGCCTCAGCGATGGCGACTCCCTCCTCATCGCGCACAAAGCCACTCAGACCGCGGTGAGTCTACGGTGGTGGTAGTGGGGGGTCAATGGTGGGGGGGTCAATGGTGGGGGGGGGTCAATGGTGGGGGGGGGGGGGGGTGACGGTGGGTGGGGGTCAGGCTCAGGGTCACCGTAGGGGGTCACGCTAGGGGTGAGCACGAGGGGAGTGACGTGAGTCAGCCGTGGGGTCTCCCGTGACCTCCTCGTGCACCTAGCCTGGCACCTGTTCCATGTAGAGCAGGAGGGCCTCACGGTTGAGTGCCCACTCCACGTGCAGGAGGCTGGCATGGGGGAACTTGTCGCAGCCCAGCTCGATGGTAACCTCGAATGTGTTGGTGTGCAGGTAGCTGAAGTCGTTCATGCCTGGGGGAGATGTGGGGGAGATGTGGAGGAGATTGTCACCTCTAGCGTGTTGGTGTGCAGGTAGCTGAAGTCGTTCATGCCTGGGGGAGATGTGGGGGGGAGATGGGGGGAGATGAGGGGAGATGGGGGGGAGATGTGGAGGGAGATGGGGAGATGGGGGGAGAGATGTGGGGGAGATGTGGAGGAGATTGTCACCTCTAGCGTGTTGGTGTGCAGGTAGCTGAAGTCGTTCATGCCTGGGGGAGATGTGGGGGGGGGGGAGATGGGGGGAGATGAGGGGGATGTGGGGGAGATGTGGAGGAGATTGTCACCTCTAGCGTGTTGGTGTGCAGGTAGCTGAAGTCGTTCATGCCTGGGGGAGATGTGGGGGGAGATAGGGGGGAGATAGGGGGGAGATAGTGGGGGAGATAGGGGGAGAGATGGGGGGAGATGGGGGAGAGATGTGGGGGAGATTGGGGAGAGATGTGGGGGAGATGTGGAGGAGATTGTCACCTCTAGCGTGTTGGTGTGCAGGTAGCTGAAGTCGTTCATGCCTGGGGGAGATGTGGGGGGAGATAGGGGGGAGATGGGGAGATGGAGAGATGGGGAGATGGGGGAGAGATGGGGGAGAGATGGGGGAGAGATGTGGGGGAGATGGGGGAGATGTGGGGGAGATGGGGGAGAGATGTGGGGGAGATGGGGGAGATGTGGAGATGTGGGGGGAGATGGGGGAGATGGAGGAGATAGGGGGAGAGATGGGGGAGATAGGGGGAGAGATGGGGGAGATGGGGAAGATGTGGGGGAGATGGGGGAGAGATGTGGGGGAGATGGGGGAGATGGGGGAGATAGTGGGAGATGTGGGAAGATGGTGGGAGATGGTGGGAGATGGGGGGAGATGGGGGAGGGATGGGGGAGAGATGGGGGAGATAGGGGGGGAGATGGGGGAGATAGGGGGAGAGATGGGGGAGATGGGGGAGATGTGGGGGAGATGGGGGGGAGATGTGGGGGAGATGGGTGAGATGTGGGAGATGGGGGGAGATGGGGGAGAGATGGGGGAGAGATGGGGGAGATAGGGGGGGAGATGGGGGAGATAGGGGGAGAGATGGGGGAGATGGGGGAGATGTGGGGGAGATGGGGGGGAGATGTGGGGGAGATGGGTGAGATGTGGGAGATGGGGGGAGATGGGGGAGAGATAGGGGAGAGATGGGGGAGAGATGGGGGAGATAGGGGGGGAGATGGGGGAGATAGGGGGAGAGATGGGGGAGATGTGGGGGAGATGGGGGAGAGATGTGGGGGAGATGGGGGAGATGGGGGAGATGGGGGAGATAGGGTGAGATGGGTGAGATGTGGGAAGATGGTGGGAGATGGGGGGAGATGGGGGAGAGATGGGGGAGAGATGGGGGAGATAGGGGGAGATAGGGGGAGATAGGGGGGGAGATGGGGGAGATAGGGGGAGAGATGGGGGAGATGGGGAAGATGTGGGGGAGATGGGGGAGAGATGTGGGGGAGATGGGGGAGATGGGGGAGATAGGGGGAGATGTGGGAGATGTGGGAAGATGGTGGGAGATGGTGGGAGATGGGGGGAGATGGGGGAGAGATGGGGGAGAGATGGGGGAGAGATGGGGGAGATAGGGGGGGAGATGGGGGAGATAGGGGGAGAGATGGGGGAGATGGGGGACATGTGGGGGAGATGGGGGGGAGATGTGGGGGAGATGGGTGAGATGTGGGAGATGGGGGAGAGATGGGGGAGAGATGGGGGAGATAGGGGGAGATAGGGGGAGATAGGGGGGGAGATGGGGGAGATAGGGGGAGAGATGGGGGAGATGGGGAAGATGTGGGGGAGATGGGGGAGAGATGTGGGGGAGATGGGGGAGATGGGGGAGATAGGGGGAGATGTGGGAGATGTGGGAAGATGGTGGGAGATGGTGGGAGATGGGGGGAGATGGGGGAGAGATGGGGGAGAGATGGGGGAGAGATGGGGGAGATAGGGGGGGAGATGGGGGAGATAGGGGGAGAGATGGGGGAGATGGGGGACATGTGGGGGAGATGGGGGGGAGATGTGGGGGAGATGGGTGAGATGTGGGAGATGGGGGGAGATGGGGGAGAGATAGGGGAGAGATGGGGGAGAGATGGGGGAGATAGGGGGGGAGATGGGGGAGATAGGGGGGGAGATGGGGGAGATGGGGAAGATGTGGGGGAGATGGGGGAGAGATGTGGGGGAGATGGGGGAGATGGGGGAGATAGGGTGAGATGGGTGAGATGTGGGAAGATGGTGGGAGATGGGGGGAGATGGGGGAGAGATGGGGGAGATAGGGGGAGATAGGGGGAGATAGGGGGGGAGATGGGGGAGATAGAGGGAGAGATGGGGGAGATGGGGGAGATGTGGTGAAGATGGGGGGGAGATGTGGGGCAGATGGGTGAGATGTGGGAAGATGGTGGGAGATGGGGGAGATGGGGGAGAGATGGGGGAGAGATGGGGGAGAGATGGGGGAGATAGGGGGGGAGATGGGGGAGATAGGGGGAGAGATGGGGGAGATGGGGGAGATGTGGGGGAGATGGGGGGGAGATGTGGGGGAGATGTGGGGGAGATGGGGGAGATGTGGGGGAGATGGGGGGAGATGTAGGGTGATGGGGGGGAGATGTGGGGGGAGATGGGGAGATGTGGGGGAGATGTGGAGGAGATTGTCACCTCTAGCGTGTTGGTGTGCAGGTAGCTGAAGTCGTTCATGCCTGGGGGAGATGTGGGGGGAGATAGGGGGGAGATGGGGAGATGGGGGAGAGATGGGGGAGAGATGGGGGAGAGATGTGGAGGAGATGGGGGAGATGTGGGGGAGATGGGGGAGAGATGTGGGGGAGATGGGGGAGATGGGGGAGATGGAGAGATGTGGGGGGAGATGGGGGAGATGGGGGAGATAGGGGGAGAGATGGGGGAGATGGGGGAGAGATGTTGGGGAGAGGGGGGGGAGATGGGGGGAGATGGTGGGGAGATGGGGGGAGATGGGAGGAGATGGGGGGAGATCGGGGAGAGATGGTGGGGAGATGCGGGGAGATGGGGGGAGATGGGGGAGAGATGGGGGGAGAGATGGGGGAGATGGGGGGAGATGGGGGGAGATGGGGGGGAGATGGGGGGGAGATGGGTGGGAGATGGGGGGGAGATGGGGGGGAGATGGGGGGGAGATGGGGGGAAATGGGGGAAATGGGGGAGATGGGGGGAGATGGGGGGAGATGGGGGAGAGATGGGGGAGAGATGGGGGGGAGATGGCGGGAGATGGGGGGGAGATGTGGGGGAGATGTGGGGGAGATGGGGGGGAGATGGGGGGAGATGGGGGAGAGATGGGGGAGAGATGGGGGAGATGGGGGAGAGATGGGGGAGAGATGGGGGATATGGTGGGGAGATGGGGGGAGATGGGGGGAGATGGGGGGGAGATGGGGGGAGATGGGGGAGATGGGGGAGAGATGGGGGGAGATGGGGGAAGATGGGGGTGATGGGGGAGATGGTGAGAGATGGTGGGGAGATGGGGGGAGATGGGGGGAGATGAGGGGGAGATGGGGGGAGATGGGGGGAGATGGGGAGAGATGTGGGGGAGATGGGGGAGATGGGGAGAGATGGGGGGAGATGGGGGGAGATGGGGGAGAGATGGGGGAGATGGAGGGGAGATGGGGGGGAAGATGGGGGGGAGATGGGGGGGAGATGGAAGAGATGGGGGGGAGATGGGGGGGAGATGGGGAGAGATGGGGGAGATGGGGGGAGATGGGCGGAGATTGTGGGAGATTGTGGGGAGATGGTGGGGAGATGGTGGGAGATGGGGGGAGATGGAAGAGATGGGGGGGAGATGGGGGGAGATGGGGAGAGATGGGGAGAGATGGTGGGAGATGGTGGGAGATGGGGAGAGATGGGGAGAGATGGGGGCGGAGATGGGGGGGAGATGGGGGGAGATGTGGGGGAGATGTGGGGAGATGGGGGGAGATGGGGGAGATGGGGGAGAGATGGGGGAGAGATGGGGGAGAGATGGGGGAGAGATGGGGGGGAGATGGCGGGAGATGGTGGGGGAGATGTGGGGGAGATGTGGGGGAGATGGGGGGAGATGTGGGGGAGATGGGGGGAGATGGGGGGAGATGGTGGGGAGATGGGGGAGAGATGGGTGGGAGATGGGGGGAGATGGGGAGAGATGGGGGAGAGATGG